CAAAACCTCCCATTTAGATCCCTTGCCACTCGACCTAGGAGATTGTGCAACGTACGTGACTTAGCCATTACCAAAAACCAAACTTTTTCACTCAAACCACCTCACTCGACCTGGTCAAGCAGATCGAGATGAGCCGAATGGGAAGCCTACATAAATCGATTCCATCTTCTGACCTCTCTAAACCGAAAAAACCCAGAAAACCGAAAAAACCAAGAATCTTCAAACATAGACCACACCAAATCGATCATAAACACACAAAATCCATTAAATGCCAAACCAAAGAATCAAAATCGCCAGCAAGGTTACCCTGTTCAAGCCAAACAAACGCAACACCTCTTCTTTTTCAAACTCCCCTAAAAAATCTACCAAACCTCACCCAAATCCCTTAAAAAATACCGCAAACACAAAGAAAGGACGAAAGGAAATGAAAAACAACACAAGGAAGCAAGTATTTACCATGAAAATGGAAAAAGTTCCCAAAATCTTTTCGTTGCTATAGAGAAAAACTAAAATAGGGATAAAACACAAAGAAAGAAGAGAGAAATGGAGAATGAAATGAAACGAACAGTTGCCTTAACACTTTTATTGACAAAAGTTGTCAAAGTTTACGCGTGGCAACCTCCGATTGGTCATCGAATAGTGTGACTCCATTTTCCTGCCCAAATTCAGAAGAGAGCTCTCAGTCGTACACGTATCGAGAGATGAATTATTCAGCTTCACGTTACCTATTCAAGGTTCGTGGCCACCATGTCATGCATCTACCCATGGAAATGCTAACCACTCGCTTGGTTCACCCAACCGAGTGGAGTTATCGTCGGACGTACTAACTATTTAAACTCGGCTCTCTGGCCTTGTGACAAACGCTGCCAAAGCAAAACACAACTCCACCCTCTCGGTCAGCCCGACCGAGTGAACTAGCCACTTGCTTGGGAGTGCACATACATCTACTCATTAGGATTCAACCAATCAGCCGAAGGCACCACCCCCAGAATGACCCTAACGTATTCCACTCGATGCAATACATTGACTGCTAACACCTTCATAGGATTGTTCGCACATCCTCTCACTCGGTTCGATACACCGAATGTTAACACCTTCATGTGATAGTTCGCATATCCTCTCACTCGGTTCGATACACCGAGTGAGGACACCTTCATGGGACGTTTCACACATCCTCTCACCCGGCTTGACATACCGAGTAAGGACACCTCTAGTAGATTCTTTCATGTTTTCCCTCAATCTGATGCACTGGGCGAGGTCTTCAAGGTTTTGGTTAGATACGTTGAGTGAGGGCATGTTTGTGTTTCACCTCTACCCAACCACTCGGCTTGGTATACTGAGTACATCACCTATAATAAAAGCTATACTATTCAATTTTGCGAACAAAGAAGTAGCACATTCACATATTCAACCAATTGGTCACGAAGGACGACTAAGAACACCTTCACGCAACATCTACTCTCTAAGCTAAGCACTCTTTAACTTAGAGAGTGGGGGCAAACTGTTAGGGCCAAAAAATATCCTCTGCCAAAATAGGTCCAAAGATGAAGACACGAAGCCATGGCCTAATTCCGATCGGGGTCGCAACTGAGTTTGCATATTAGATCTGCTCAGCACACCTACCCTGTTGCTCACTACTTGAGCCCAATCAACAAAGGCCCCGACTCGTTTATGCCTCATCATCAGCTTGTCTGTGCCCAAGCCTTTTGATCCAAGATCACCTATTAGACCTAGGGTTTACTTAGATCCCAAGGTTACCTACTTCTTATTTTGGTACTATTCGGATTCTACCAAAGAGATCCATTACTATCCTAACTCGTCTAAGATCCGTATCTTAGACCAATGATAAGAGTGTAATTTATATATTTTTATTCCTTCCATATTATGTTTTTTGTTATGTTTTATGCCTAGTTGAGTTGATTAGAGTTTATTTTGTAAGTTTGGCATATTTGGATAGACTTTATGAAATAATTGAAAAAAGATTAGGAAATTCCATATTTTTGTTATTTTGACCAATGCTGCGGTTTTCAGGTTTTTCATGGAGTCAAATTTCTCGATTACAAAAGTGTTCTTTAGAAAAAGTAAAGTAGACAAATCAAGCATTCTAGGAAGGTATTATGGGCGAGAATCCAAGTTCGTTTGGGCCCTCATTAGTTGTTGCAAAACCAGACCTGGAATCCCAGTCGTGGAAGGATTTTCTGGCTAAGTATCGAGTCTTCAAATGGGCCTAACTGGAGCTTCAGATATCGAAAGAAGGTGATTCACAAGCCCAAATTCATCTACACGTCTAGGACTACAACTTTTATGAAGTGACCAAGCCCAAAAGAGTTCTTTTACATTGCGAGAATCCTGGTGCAAGCTGGATTACGAATTCTGTTTTCCATATCTGATAAGATTTTGACAGTTTTGAATGTCTATCATTTAGCAAAGATCTAGGAAAGTAATTTCCGTGATTCCTGGGGAAAAATTAAGGAAAAAACACATTATTTATTTATGAGTTGTTAGGTTAAACAGGGGAGAGCAGCAGTGGAGTTTTGTTTTTAGTTTTTTACTTTCTACGTCAATATGTGTGGCTAATCTTTCTTCTTTAGTTCAAGGGGATTTTGAAGCCTGAATTCATGTCATTGGTGTAACTTAACTTCAGTAACATTGTTCTCAATCTCGTTTTTATTGGAATTGTTTATGTTATTCTGTTTTAATTGTTTATGAATTTTGTTTGGGTGATTTAGTAATGGCCTGCTAAATTGTTTAATCGGAATTTTATCTGTTAGAATTAGGAATTGTGATATGTAATTGTCCTCTTTCTATTCAGTGAGTGACACATGATGATAGATGATTACGGACAAGTTTTCAGTCTGTCACCTTGAATAACATACCCTAAGTTAAATAATCCGATCTTGCGTGATTGTTGCTTGGATTGATCTATTTTCCTAATTCTTAAGGCTGCCATTGAATTAAACTTAGAGAGCTTATTCTAGGTTGTTCAAGGGTTAGGATCTAGTTGAAGAGCTTATTTCAGTAGTGACAATTAAGGTAAAATTCGGGTAATCGAGCTTGTTGTTTTCTAGGGTAAATAATTCCACAATAACGAGATAGAATAATGTTACGGTTAGTTCATGTCTAATGCATGTTTAGGTGGATCTTGAACCGAGAACTAGTTGTTTTTAATTTGATATTTTCTACCATTGGAGATTTATTTGTTTCACTTTAGATTGCATTGATTACAACCCATTTCATTATTCTGTTGTCGTGTTTACTGTTTAGGATTTTATTTTATTTTCCTGTTGTCTTCGTTGTGGTTATTGGCATAGAATATAGAATTTAATCGAATCATTCCCTGTGGGATCGACCCTTGCTCACCCTATATACAATTTAGTAGTTAGGTTAGTAAGGTTAATTAATATGGTGCATTCGTCACGCCACCAACCAACTAGGACTCCCTCTCCTACTAAGGTAAGGGAATCAAAATCCTTCATATTCACTAAACCTCAACCTCCAAAGGACTCATAGTCCTACTAGGACTCGAAGATCCTACAGTTGCTATTTAAACAGAAGTCAACCCTCTCACAGGGAAAAAAACATTACACCTTCTAATCCCGTAGTTCTCACTCTTGAGAACCTCGCATCTAGACTTCTGGTAACCTTCTCTTTCCCTAACTCTCACTAAATTAGCCTCATTTAGCCTTGCTGACTTGAGCGTCGGAGTGTCTACGGCAAACACCACCCCCGGTGTTTTCCATTTACTTCACACTTGTTTTCTTGCGTGTGTAGGTACAGCAGATTGCTTGTGGCCCCAACCTCAAGGGATCAGACCCTATTTCCGTAGCGGTAGATTTTTTGCATCTAGAGATTGTAAGTCAAATGGGTCCAAAACTTTGTCTTTATGGAGTTTTGCTATTCAAGTCTGATTCACATGACCAAGTCTATAGTGCCAAAGATAAGTTTGGTTCAGATTGCCACGTTTGGGTTTCTTGTTTTCAAGATTAAGAATTTCTTTATTATTTAAATCAAGAACATAAAGACCATTATGTAATCTAGTAGTTCCATAATGAATACCATTCAAACTAAAAAACATCGATCCATTAGCAATCATAAAATGATATCCATAATCGTCCAAAGTGGACACAAAAATAATCCCGGCTAGTTTAATAGGTTTAACCGGGACCCGGGAGCTTCACCGGACCAAGTTAACATTTTTTCTATTCACCCAAAACCCTAGAATTTGGGATGATGATCGACAAACAATTGAAGGTTGGGTTGTTAGGGATTTTGAAGAGAAAGTGTCAGTGAGTACAATGATGACGACGAAGTTGATTTCCAATGAGTGAATCAACTGGAAATTAAAAAAAAAAAAAAAAACCTCTAGCGGCAACAACCAACGGGGGTAGGGTGAGGTGGGTTTTGGTTAGGAAGAAGAGGAGAGTATTTTCAGGGTGATAGGGAGGTTTGTCGATGTCGACGTCGGTGAGATCTGGCTTGGAATACCGACACCAACGTCGATGGGATTTGACTGAAATTGAACCGATTTCAGCTAGATTTTGGGTAGATTTTCAGGGGAATAGGCTCAAGGGAGGATTGGGATTGCATTTGGGGTGTGGTCGCCGCCAACCAATCGTCGAAAGATTTGTATTTGGGGTGTGTTTGCTAAATTTCAAATCTATAGAGACTTAACGTAATTTTTACGGATGTATTTGTTGAATTTTAAAAGTTTTGTCACCTGGTTTGACCAGCCGATTAATCCGAGACCCGAAAAATTTGCCGAGTTTTACCTCGGTTTGGGTTTTAAAACATTAGTATTCATCTAACCAAACATAAGTTCATGAAAAATTGAATTGAATCCAGGGATCGTACAAAATCGGTGGATTTTAAAATCCCTCAATCCAAATGAGGCCTTAAAAATAAAATTGAAACTAAAAGGATTAAAAGAAAAATTAGAACTAGTAGGGTTGAAAAAAATATTTAATAGGGTTTTAATTAAGGTTAAAACGGCGTCGCTTTTGTAGGAAACAGATCGCTTTCTACAAAATTTCACTCTCTCGTATGATTGAATCAGGCTTCTTATCTTTAGCCCTGGTGGCTGCGGCGGCTCTTCTTCGAGGTGGCTTCGTTCTCTTGTGGCGGCTATAGCGGCGGAGGCTTCAATCCGAGCTGTTTTGATTTTATTTTGAAGGTAATTTTTCTATAAATTTGATTCTTTATTTCTATCTCGCTTGTTGATTGGTTCGCCACCGTGGCTTTATTCTTGAATTTTCTTTTCGATTTCAGTTAAATCCTTTAAAACTCGTTAGCTAAATTTTCGATTTATAATTTCTGATTTTTTTGTTAAAAGAAATGTATTTATTCTTTTTGTCTTTCAATTAATGTCAGTTCATATTTGTTAGTGGAATTTTCGATTCTTAATTTCTGGTTTCTATTGAAGTAAATTTATTTATTTTTTTAATATTTGAATAAATTTCTGTTTATTCTCTGTTAGACTGAAGCGGAAGATTCAATTGTGCGAATTGTAGTAGATTTCCTTTACCTCTACCTCTCTGTTAATTTTTTAAAGATCACATTTTGGAAAAATTCTTTTTCGCGTTTCTACTTTCCTCACTGATCACATTTTTGAACTATAGTTTTTCATGTTTGGGATAATTAATTAATGGTTGAATAATTTGGTATTAAGTGTTATAAGTTTATGATGCACAACCCATGTATAATAAGAGAATCGAGGGCGTAGTTATATCGGTCCTCAGATAGTGAAATTCATTGCTGGGTAGATTCCGACCCACATGAAGGGCGCATTACGATCTAGGCACCCTCCAGAGCATGGTATCAAGTGTTATAAGTTTTGATGCGCAAACCATAGAAAATAAGATAATTTGTAACTATAGTTATTTTAAGTTAGTGAAATTCCTTGTCAGGTAAGTTCTGTCCCGCAAGAAGGTGTTACAAGGCGTTATGATCTAATCACCCTCTCAGAAAGAGGCTCAGCGAACTAGACTTGCACCGAGAAACTATTATGCTGATTACCAAACTTGATATGTTCATATAATTAACATTGCCGATTTTACCTTGTCTTTTTTTAAATTTAGGGAAAAGAAATCAAAATTGATAGGGTTAGAGAAAGGAGAATCCTTGTTTTGTGATGGCTGCTTCTTCAAAAGCTCTCATTCCCGAAACTCTAACTGGGAATGAAGATTGGACCATTGTTTTACCTCGTCGTGGCAAGCAAAGAAGAAATTCACCTAGAATTATAACTCCAAAAGAACAACAAAAACCATGGTGCCCTAGTGAAATTGAATCTGATCCTCACAGAGAATCAATGTTATTTCAAAGGATGCTGAACTGTATTAAGAAAATGGAGAGCTCTCAATTCTATCAAAATTTTGTTGATCAAATCCAAACTCCAGAAGTCTTGAGTTACTTTTATAGTGTTTTGGGTTCTGAATTGAATATGCAAATGGTGATATATGGTATTGGCAGCATTGAATTCTATGAACCCCCTCGATTGCAGCTTAGCCTTGCAATCTTAATGAAAAGAAAGTTCAGTTGGGTTGGCGACATAGAGGTATTTGATCCTATTCTTTCTGCAACTGAAGCTCGGGTTTTGGAAGCCCTTGGTTGTTCGGTTCTATCAGTCAACGAACAAGGTCGCCGATGTGCTATGAAGCCAACGCTTTTCTTCATGCCACACTGTGAAGCAGAGTTGTATAACAATCTTTTGCAGGCAAATTGGGGAGCGATGTTAAAACACATGGTAGTGTTTGGAAATAGCTTTGAGATGTACCACCAGCATGTCACAGAGTTTAAGAGCTCAACTATCGTCAATACAGCCAAGCATGTTTTAGCTGTTCGAAGATTCTCAAATGAATTCGGCATCGATGTTATTTCAGATGATTATTTTGCAGCGTTTCATGATTCAGGTTGGCATTTCTTCAACCCTGATCTTGGAATTGAACTGCAGTTAATATAAATTTGATGAAAATGGATTCAACACATTCTTTGCTTTCCACCTTAATGGAAATGATTCTGTTGTGTAATTGTCTGTATGCTGAAAGATTGAATCAGTATTTATATATTTTTTCCTCATTATTTATAAGTCTATTTATTATATGGTGTTTGTGAAATTTGTGGGTTGATTAATGCCCCTCTGTGATTATGTTTAATGTGTGGTCAGATGGTTTTAGATACAAATATTCACTCCCAGGCTTTGATACATGCACATTAAGACAGTATTAGGGTCATTCTGAAGCAATTTATTATAAATAATAAATGGAAGAAATGTCCATTTCAGTAATACCCTATATAATAGTTTTCATACCAACCCTAATCTCAACATCAGATTGGATGTTGTTTTGAGCAATTGTGGTTGTTAATATTTTTGGTACTATGCGTTATATTTGTACGGTCCCAACAAACACACCCATAAGTATAGATAATTACATTTACCCCCCTGTAGTTTAAAACTCCTATAGAGTCCCTCATTCTAATAGAAACCCAATGTAAGGGTAGAACGGATAACTCACTCATACACATGGGAAAAACAGGTAATTCATTTTTCTCTGCATAAGAATGTTGTTTTAAAGTTAAGCTTGTTAGTTAGAAGGGCTTAATTTGTAGTATTTCAGAGGTCAAGACCTTGACCTATTGGACCAAAAATCAGGATTCAGTCTCTCTCCCCATAAATAGGATTGGGTGCAATGAAGATTCTGTTATTATCAACTCAAATTTATTTAAGATCTGATGGGTATAAATCTAATGGGAAATTAAGTTTAGAGGTAACAAAGCCATAAATATGGCTTGTGTTTATATAATTTTCAAAGAGTAGCTTCTTTCTTTAGTTTGATTTAGAGAATAATGTGCTTGACATCATCTTATTTTTAATATTTTTTGTTGAAATTGATTGTCTTCTTAAATTTGAGCATTTTCATTGAATTTTTCTATTTATTTTGAAGGCAAGCCTCTTTCATGTTGGGACTTATCCCTTTAACTAAGACCTCCTCCAAAATTTAGATTTTGTTAAGAAAAATCTTCTTTCTAACAATGTATTAATATCCCTATTATGAGCAGTCCTTGCAATTTCATTTCAAGCAAAGCAATCTAATGAATTGTACCTATATAGAGCATTTTAACACAATATTATCTCAATTGCTCCACTACCTTAGCGTATTGGCATGAAAGCATGATTCATTAACAGCAAAAATGGCAAAAGCTTTATCTCATTCACCCACAAAAGATTGTTAAGTTTCAAGCACCTAGTGATTTTCAAAAACTACTGTTCTCTCTCTAAAATTACCAAAATTCCCTTAAAAAAAACTCTTGTAAAAGTACAAAGAACCGTTAATAGAGCGTACTTGATTTTGATAGTCTTTGAAAAATCGTAAAGCCACTTCTGACTTAGCAATCTTTCAAAAGGTGAATGAAATAAACCCATTGCAAGATAGACCCATCAAGTTCCATTTCGCCATCAAACTGCTCTTTCTACGCAGTCACTACAAGCACTAAACAATCTAATTGCCCTTGAATCCACCAATAATAAGGAAAGAGATTCTTCATAAACTTTCTATTCTACACCCCGCGGCTCTATATACATTTGCAATTAGAGAAACAAAATAATTAGAAAATATATTTCTTCAATAATGTGAAAGATAACAAATAAAATTGTGGCTGCTAATGGCATTCCTAAATTTAACCAACTGTTTTAGTGTATATTCAACTATACAACTGAAAAATAAGTATAACAAAGATATCAGCCTGCGTGGACACTTTTGGCAGTTAATGTAGCCTATAGTTTTGTTCTTCTGTTGTCGATAAATAGACCTGAACATTTTTCCGGCAGAACAATAAAAAGTATACATGCATAGAAAGGCCTTTTATTGAAATCAGATTACCCAGATTTTGTCCTTAAATAGTATTCACCAACTGACACGAACACAACCCCAGTTCTATAGCAAGCTGATTTTCGATGCAATTAACCATTATCTGCAAAGAGACAAGGGAAGAAAGGTTAGCGAGGCAAGTATTTTATGTTGCTATAATATCATGAAATGGTATTTTCACAAGATTAGCATTTGATGGACTGTCACGCAAAAGCGGATTAAGTGAACGACGACACAAACCTTGTCATTTCTATGTTGAAAATCGGACTTTAAATTAGAATGATCCCTTGATAGCAAGTAAATCTTCACGCCTTGCATGAACTATGTTTCCTTAAACTCAAAGTACACAATGCATACCCATACAGACATCATTAGAGGGAGTGCTAACCTGAGTATAATGCAAGAAAAGCGTCTGAGTCGAATGGTAGAGCAGGTCTCACTAAGCTGATTTTAAACGACATTTTTGATATCCCATGGAAACTCTCACCACCAAGGATGACCTGCATTTGTAGGAAAGTATTTATAAAGAACATATTAGGATAATGCAGGCAAAAAATTAGTAGTTAGTATTAGCTGGCGTCTAAACTCGGTGATTTAAAAATTTGTCAAATCCAATCTGCCAAATAAATCGCGGCAAGGGTTAAATTAAAACAGGATAACTATATTAGATTGATAACATAACTCGATACAACTCATATAACTTGTTTACATATTCAGCCCACTTACCTGTTTTCCAAAAGTTCGACTTGTCAGTACAAATTCAAGCCACTCAACCTTTTTATACAAATCTGACCCCGTTTAACCCATTTGTACAATGTATACAGAACATCAGTACAAGTTTAATAACATACAGCTTCAGCAAACTTCATCCATTCACAGAAAATCCAATCTACTTCACTAATTTTTTGTTACAAAGTAAATAATTTTTTATAATAAATAATACTACGCATACAAAGTGTGTATACAAAGTTTTTGATACAAAGTGATGTGTCATTGCTCTTCTATTGACATGTCATTCAACTTTATGTATTGTGCATTTATTTAAGTTGACTTCTATATTAATTCATCCTTTTATTTTGTACCACGTCAATTTCTATAAAAGATTTCATATGACTTTTTGTACATGTAGTATAAATAATACTATACATACAAAGTGTGCATACAAAAACTTCATACAAAGTGATATGTTATCAAATGAATGGATAGATTAATATAAAAAGTCAATAAATATATGTAATAAATGAGGTTGAATGACTTGGCAATATAAGAATTATGCCAAGTCACTCTGGATAAAAATCTTATGTGCAGTTTGTATGTGTAGTGTTATTCTATGTAGTATTGTTCATTGATAATATACATACAATTTTAATGACAAGAAAATAACACATAATTGTTCTCTACAAAAATTCCGTTGATTTAAATTACAATGATATCCGCCACCTTATTAACGTTATAATTTACTTATATATTAAACCAATTATAAATAAGTTGACACATCACAGTAAATTATCCATGTCAGTGAACACCTTGGGGCTAAGAGATGGGTTCAACCCAAGCAGCACATTTATTTAATGAAATTGACACGTAGAGTCAACCCTAACACACTTACATAATCCTTTTACACAGAGACAACAGAAGCTAGCTTCCATCGTGCAATCAAAGAAATTATTTATAAGAGATCGAATAATGTCTACTTCTTGGCTTTGTTCAAAAACATTGTATGCAAACATGATCTTTGGTCGATTAGAATTTTTCCAAAACTGAAGGCACACTTCAGACACATACAAAAAATGTGGCATGCAATTACTAATATTTTATAAGATACCATAAATGGCCAAGCTTAAATAAACAGCAACTATTCAATAAATCAAACCGTAATTATTTAAAGCAGCTTACCCCGTGGCATCATGGTGACAGGAAGCAATGGATAACCAATTGCATCCCTAATATAGTGTTCCTGGACATAACAGTCATAGTTTTAGCTCTAAGGATAGATAATACAAACTATGAGTAGCCATTCTATTACACATCAAGACCCAAAATTACAAACATTACTCAGGAAAAAAAAAAAAAAAAAA